TCATAGCTCTTTTGACATTCTTAAACAAACAAACAAACAAACAAAAAAGACTCTTCACATCTCCCATTCCATCAGCTTGTTATTGAAGGAAGACAAATTTAAGAACGTACATGTTCTGTACTATAATCAATCACAACCAAAACTATTACCAAAAAGTCATTCACTTTAACTTTAAATCATGAACATGCTAATCAAATAGCGGCAGATCTTCTATCAAAATTTATTAGAAAACAAGACCCTGTTCAAGGTTTTGATTCATATAGTGTATTTCGTAACATTGTTCTTAGGGTTACCAATGCAGAAGAGTAGAATACTACAGGACAGAGTTGGCAGAATTATGTCTGCTATTTATTCATTTGTTAAATGAGAAGCTAGTTCTGATCTACCTGTAATGTTTTGTTATCTAGACACATAAAGATAATTAGCAATCATTAAAGTCAACTGTACACAAGGCAGTATATAAAACAGAAGAAAAAAAGAAAAGCTACTCTGTAGAGCCTTATAAACTGCCACATAAATAAGTACTCCATCTGCAAGAGAAAGGGTCTACACCATATGGTGTTTGAAAATCTTGAGAAATGTACGATAGTTACAAGAAGAGTTTGGTTAGGACAGAAAATAAGGAGGACTAAGTCTCTCTCTAGAACAGAAAGGAGGGAGAAAAGAGAAGAATGGTTTCAATTCACAAGCAGTGTCGTATGGTAACAGGAAGACTAGAGTGAGAAGTAAGGTCTAGTCTAGACCCTGATATAAATCAGCTATTTCTTCTTCTTTATAATGAAAGGACTGACATAATGACCACTAAAACCTATAGTTATGTAAAGGTCTGCTATGAGAAGACCATGAATGTTTCTCACAAAGTTCATAGAATTTTACTCTATGCAGTGAAATCAACTGCTAAGAAGGACGCAGATATACAGTCCCAGGAATAACTGGGACTTTGATTAGCGTACAGGTATTTAGGATGAATAAGAGAACTAGAGCAGCAAAGGTCCAGCTAAGTTCTGAAATAATACTTTAAGGGTTACCATTTTAAGTTAAAGTTATGCAGTAGAAAGACATTAAAATTGGTAAAAGCATATTTGTATTTTACTTTTAGCTTTACCATTAAACATCTCGAACACTGAGAGATTTTCAGCATTTGTTTTTATTTTTTGGTCACATTTAAACCAGAGGTAACCACAGACATCTACATCTCTCCAATACAGATGATGTGAAGGTAGATAAGACAGTGCAAGCCAGAAGCTCAATTTCCTAAGGCTACTCATAACTGTCATGATCAAAACTATATACCTAAAGATGGGTCTGTGGTAATGCTTCACGAGTAAGTAATTAACTAATGTGAAAAGTAACTTTAAAAGAATATCAATAAAATACATTATTAATAAACAATTAAAAATTAATAATCAGAAAGATAAGACAAAACATCAGCTGACTTAAAGACATGAGAATAACTGAGACCACCATCAGGAGGAGGGAAAAAAAGGCAAAATAAAACAGTACAGGTTCCTACCTGGTTGCTTGGATCTAGGCCGGCATAAGAGTTTCTGGAACTGCAACCAACTGGGGGTGTAGCCTCTCGGATGAACTCAGACATCTCAATCCCTCCACCAGGATCACTGCAGAGAAAAAAATGAGAAAAAGAGAACTGCCATTATTTTGCTTTTCTTTTGTTAATTTTTTAAGTTATACTTTTTTTCTATAAAACTAAGAGGTTCTGATTTTTAATCGAGCAAACAGCGAAAAAGGTAAACAATGATCATTCTTCATTTATAAGTCTGATAACTGAAACTATTTTATAATAACATCACTACTTGAAAATATGTAAAACTTTCTTATTATTTTTTTTTTTTTTGAAACGGAGTTTCGCTCTCGTTACCCAGGCTGGAGTGCAATGGCGCGATCTCGGCTCACCGCAACCTCCGCCTCCTGGGTTCAGGCAATTCTCCTGCCTCAGCCTCCTGAGTAGCTGGGATTACAGGCACGTGCCACCATGCCCAGCTGATTTTTTGTATTTTTAGTAGAGACGGGGTTTCACCATGTTGACCAGGATGGTCTCGATCTCTTGACCTCGTGATCCACCCGCCTCGGCCTCCCAAAGTGCTGGGATTACAGGCTTGAGGCACCGCGCCCGGCCGTAAAACTTTCTTATTCCAAATGGTCTACATCTAATCCAACATTAGAAACAGGCATTAATTACAATTATGGCAAACTAAATATATTATGATATGTGCCATCAAACCACTCTTACAAAGAAATGATTGCCTTTTGCTTCCCAAGAGCAAAGAGAAATTGTTCAGTTGTAAACACAGAATGTAATCAGATATTACATTAGCGAATCCCCATGAGATCAGTCCAAATGAGCCGCACGATACAGTGATGTACACACAAAAGAACAGTCACCCTGGTCAAAAGCTATTTGTATCTGTATTTTTTCAGTAAACAGAATGTATCTAGAATACTAACTTGTTTTACAGAACTGGAAGCCTAAGATTTTAGATATGTATATGTTCAGAAGGCCAAAGTTAAAAAAGGAAAGTGATGTTCTGTATTAACAACGTAGAAAGGCAAAAGAGAAAAGTAGTAAAATCAAAGCACTGGAGAAGCACAAACACAGTATGTAAAGATAACAAGAACCCAGATTTACAGGAAAAAAGACACACACCAAATTTTACAAAACTTAGGAAATGCTACATCAGGTTCCTCAGGGAGACAACTCTTAGAATCTAAGTTATAACCCTACTTTTTGCCGCGCGCAGTGGCTTGTGCCTGTAATCCCCAGCACTTTGGGAGGCCGAGGCAGGCAGATCACAAGGTCAGGAAATCAAGACCATCCTGGCCAACATGGTGAAAGCCTGTCTCTACTAAAAATACAAAAACCTTAGGTGGCCATGGTGGTGCACGCCTATAGCCCCAACTACTTGGGAGGCTGAGGCATGAGAATTGCTAGAACCCAGGTGGCAGAGACTGCAGTGAGCCAAGATAGCACCATTGCACTATAGCCCGGGTGACAGTGCAAGACTCCATCTCAAATAAATAAATTAATTTAATTTAATTTAAAAAAATAAAATAAATTAAATAAGCCCAGAGTTTTTTTTTGTCATTCTACCTGGTATAAACAGAATAAGTATGCAGTAATTTTTTAGTTGTTATTATCAGGATAAAAGTTACAGTATATATGTTAGATATTACAGAGGATACACCTTGCTATCTGGCATCCAATTCAACCTCCTGATTATCGAAAAAAAAGAAAAAAGAAACCCCAAATTCTTCAGGTAAGCCACCTTATCCCAAACTCTCATAGGTTTTTGGGTAATGTTGACCCCACCCTCAGGTTTAGGAGTAGGCTCTACTGTCCAAAGTCATAAATATATCCCATTCTTCTGGTCATTGAAATTAGCTTTATAATAAGCACAGGAAACAACCCAGGTGAGAGGAAATTTCTCTATATCTGCTACTCTTAATGTTGACACTTAAGGCCTGGAGCTGCTGCAGCCATCTTACAACCATAAAGAAGGGCCTGTTCTAAGAAGCCAACTAATGGAAAAGAACAGAGTCTGGCTAGAAGAAGAGAGGCGGGAACACGAAGTGACAGTTTGAAACGCTGCATCCTGACACATCTGAAGACATCCCTCACATGCAGACTTTTCAGTAATGTGAACAGTAAATTCCCTCAAGCCTTTTTGGGTACAGTATTCTGACAGCTACAATCAAAAGATATAAGCAATATATAATTTTCCATTTAATAAGTATTTAACATTTAGTAGTTTGAATTCTAGTGTGTTTTTATTATCTATGACCTCACAATTATAATGTCCCTGTTCCCTTAACAGGTTCCTAATTCTAAGCCATTGACTATAGTCAGCTAACTAAGTTTCAATAAAGAAAGCTAGCTTTCTAACTTACTATCCATTTATGAAAATAAAATAGACTAGAACTCAGGTACACATGTAATGGCCAATTCAGTATACAAACACTCATGTGAGAGAAATGTAAAACATGGCTCGTTTATAAGCTGTTTGGTATTAACTCATATAAGCTATATAAGCCAGAAGGAGAAATTTTTCTAAACTGGAAAAACCTCAAGTGTGTATATAGAGGCACTATCACCACAATGCATTAGTAATGAATATTCAGCAATATTATGGTTTCTCCACTAGAATGCATCCACTAAGTGAGGTCCAAAGAAATCAGAAGACAGAAAGCAAGGTACAGATTAAGAAATAAAATACTCAACAACACAGAAAGGAGAGAGAGCCCTCATCTTGCCTAGTCTACATATTATATATATGTAGACATATACATATGTACATACACATATACATATTATATATATACAGATACATATGTATCAACTTTATTAAAATATGATTCACCCAATTCACCCTTTTAAACTGTATAATTCAATGGTTTTTAGCCTATCACTAAATTACGAAACCACCACCAAAGCCAATTTTAGAGCATTTTTATCACCTCAAAAACAAACCCCTTTAACCATTACTACCCTTCCTTTCCGTCCTCCTTAGCCCTAGACAACCATTAATCTACATTCTGTCTCTACAGATTTGCCTGTTCTGGACATTCTATATAAATGGAATTATATTTTATCTTTTGTGTCTGGCTTTTTTCACTTAGCATGTTTTCAAGGTTCATCCGTGTTATAGCATGAATCATGCATTTCATTCCTTTTTATAGCCAAATAATACTCCACTCTATGGATAAACCTATTTGTTTATCCAGTCATCAACGGATGGATAATCTTGCCTAGTTTTATACATCACTTCTGACAGCAAGTCCAAATTACTGCAATCTGAAGATAGAGTTATTATTAATAATAAATAAAAACAGGCTGGGTGTGTGGTTCATGCCTGTAATCCCAGCACTTTGGGAGGCCAAGGCAGGCAGATCACTTGAGCCCAGGAGTTTGAGATCACACTGGGCAACATGACAAAACCCCATCTCTACAACAAAAATTACCCAGGCATGGTGTTATGTGCCTGTACTCTCAGCAACTCAAGAGGCTGAGGTGGCCAGACAGATTTAGCCTGGGAGGTCAAGGCTGCAGTGAGCTGTGATTGCACCACTGCAGTCCAGCCTGGGCAACAATGTAAGACCCTGTCTCAAAATAATAATAATAATAATAATAATAATAATAAATATTTACCAAGTACTTACTATATTCCAGTCATAGGAGTATGTGCTTTATTTGTATTTTCTGATAAAACTTTTTTATAAGTGCTATTATTCTCCTTTTACAATTGAAAAAACTGAAAACCAAAAGGTATAAAAACTTGCCTAAGGTCTCAGAGGAGGAATGAAACATAAACAAGTCACTGGTAAATGGAGTTCAGGTGAAAGGGGAGGACAGAAATAATACCTCCTCAGCACTCTACAAATAAGTTATCATATCTGTTTTTCTTTATTTCCCACACACGAATACAGGTACTCATAACCAGCATGGCCTAAGATAAGGTTCAAAAACCAGGTCTGTGAAACTCTAAAGCCCACATTCTCACTTTTTGTTGTTGTCGTTTTTAAGAAACAGGGTCTCGCCCTGTCACCTAGGCTGGGGTGCAGTGGTGCAATCATAGCTCACTGAAGCCTCAAACTGCTGGGCTCAAGTGATCCTCTCACTTCAGTCTCCTGAGTAGCTGGGACTACATGCACACGACACCACACTCGACTAATTTTTTATTTTTTGTAGAGACAGAGTCTCACTGTATTACCCAGGCTGGTCTCAAAATCCTGGTCTCAAGGGATCCTCCCACCTTGGCCTCCCAAAATGCTGGGACTACAGGTGTGAGCCACTGTGCGTGGTCCTCATTCTTTCTAAGAAAGCATACTGCCTTACACCAAATAGGCACTGAAGTTCTCTTTCCAGTTCAAAACCGAAAGTAAACACCACTATTTACAGCAGCGATTTTTAAACTCAGTACTGTTGACATTTTCGGGTCACATAATTCTTGACTGCATTGTAAGATGGCTAGTAGCATCTCTGGCCTTTACCCACTAGATGCCAGTAGCAACCCCCTCAGTGTGACAACCAAACAAAAGCTCCAGACATTGCTAAATGTCCCCTGGGGAGCAAAATTACCCACTCACCACCACCACCCATCCCCCGCCCCATTGAGAAATGATTTAGAACTAATGGTCAAAGATCAATATTGCATGGAAAGAAAGGAGATATCAAAGGAACAAGAAAGATGAAGGGAAAAAATGGACAGCTACTTTTATTTAAAAACCCTCTAGTAAAATTTCTGGACTTCTTTCTTCTCTATAAATTCAGAAGTAAAACTCTTAGCCAAGCTGTAGGTGTTCTAAATATAAACATATAAAATAGCTGAGTAAGAGTTTTCTTTATTGGCAAGACTTGCAGGTTTGCAGAGATTTCAGCACATACCTGGAAAGCATAGAAGTTTATAACTCCCACAGAAGAAAAGTGGTCTACTGCAGTAAGCAATACACCAAATTCAGGTACTATCTACCTTTATGCCTTAACTTCCCCATCTGTTAAGAAAAAAAATAAACCGAGTACAGGCAGAAAAGCAGAAGGGCTCTAATCTGAATTACAGAGACGTCTTCACAAACTAATTTGTTGATTATCAGTACCATATTAATT